GCGGGGAGCGGGGGCGAGATGCCCAACGGACAGTCCTTGAGACACAAAGGACAAAGAAGCATCGAGAAAAAGCTGTGTGTGTGTGCGGCTCTTGCGGTCACCCCAGGGTGAGATCTGGGGGACCGTGGCCAGCTCCGGCCTGGACGGGGAGGTCACACGGTATGCGTGGCTCCAGCGGGGAGCAAGCGAGTCCTTGAGTTCACCCCCCCCCCCCCGCAGGATGGACAGACAGACCTGACTTGTGTAGTTCGGGGAGCCCCGGCTCGCTCAGTAAGCTCGGGGTGGGGGTTGGGATAAGCCAGCGCCCCTTCCCGGGCCGGCTGGGCGGGGCCTCCCCGACCCCACGGCGCCCTTCCCCCAGCAAAGGCGCGACCCGCCCCTGCAGCCCCCTCCAGGCGTGGACTCAAGGTCAGAAGACGGCAGGGAGCAACGGCCGCAGCCAGACGCAAGGGTCCCCAAGGGTCCCCGGGATCTGAAGCCACGGCTCTACGAGGCTGCGCCGGCCGGGATGTGCCCCCTCTCCCCGCCGGCCGGCAGGGGGCGCTGGCACTCACCATGATGCCGGTGAGCAGGCACACGCCCTTCCCGCAGTACGTGTTGGGCACCATGTCCCCGTAGCCGATGGACAGGAAGGTGATGGAGATGAGCCACATGGCGCCCAGGAAGTTGCTGGTCACGTCCTGCTGGTCGTGGTACCTGCGGGGGAGGCAGCAGACAAGCCGGGTTAGCCAGCCACGCGCGGGCCGGATGGACAGACGGACGGATGGACAGACACGTGACGCCCAGGCCGCCCTTCACCATCGCTCCCTACGACCCATACACAGCGTGCACGCCTGTAATCCCCATACTGGGGAGAATCGGGGTCTGAGGTCACCAGCGCGAGACCCCATCTCCAAACCAACGTTCAAGAAAAGCCAAGGGGCGGAGGCCTGGCCCACGCCGTCCAGCCCTGGCCCAGCGAGCGCACGTGCGCAAAGCCCCGAGTTCAAGCCCCAGGACTGCCCCCAAAAAGGTGCCGAGTGACACCCCTGTCTGGCGTTATTCCTACCCCGCCAGGCGGGCGACGGAGCACCGGGCGTGGGGAACGCCACGGGACTGCGGAGGTCTGCGCTCTCTTGTCCCGCCTTTGGCTTGCGAGTTCAGAGTCAGGGGCAGGAAGTGCTGGCGCCGGACACTGCGAGGCCTTGGTGGGGACCCGGGGTCAACCAGGACCCCGCCGCTGGCCAGCGATGCATGTGACACACACACACACACTACCTCATTCTGAAGCAGGTTGCCGTAGCACAGTCCGGCACATGCTCCTGTACCTGGGTACAGACAAGACACCCCCGGAACTCAGGAGCCAGGGAGGGAAGGAGACAGTGGGGAGCAGACAGTGATGCCTGCACTTTCCTGTGTGGAATGAGGGTCCCCCCCCCCGGAGTCCCGCCTGGGGGGGCGGCACCTGTGAGTCACGGGTCCCCAGCACAGCGGACATGAGGAGGAGGAGGCGGAAGAGAGGCCCAAGGGAACACAGCACCTCCATCCAGCGGGATGGAGAGAGACAAGCCGGAGTCGAGCGAAAACACCAGGCCGACCCTCTTTGCACTCGCAGCCCGCTATGGCAGACTGCCTTTAGTGCCTGCCAGCGACCAGGACCAGGGAGAAGCCAAGTCCGACGCTGATTTGGGCCTGGACCGGTGCGGATTTTCATACGGCATGGAACCCTTTATTGAGCTGAAGTGAGGGGCATGTGTGCGTGCACATGTGTGTGTATGGTGTGTGTGTGGTGTGTGCATGGTGTGCATGCGTGTGGTGTGCATATGTGTGGTGTGTGTGTGTGGTGCGTGCGTGCATGTGTGCATGTGTGTGGTGCGTGCGTGCGTGTGCATGTGTGTGTGGTGTGTGTGTTGTAACCTTGATTTTATTTTGCTCCTTTGACCTTGCACATTTGATTTTTTTTTTCCTTTTCTCTTTTGACTTAAAAAGAATCAAAAGTCTGGTTGAAAAGTCTGCTTCCCCAAAGGGAGAGCGGACAGGACACATCGTCCCGCGAGACCTCCCCGGGCTGGGGTTCTCAGGCTTAGGGGACCCAGCCACGGCACGAGAGCGAATCCAGGCAGTGTGAAAGCTCACCACGAACGCTTCACCGATCACACAAGGACACACCACGGTACACGAGCCACGGTACACGAGCCACGGTACACGAGCCACGGCACACCAGCCACAACAGGAAGAAGTAACAGCTTGTAAGAGATCACGCACTTCAACATCCGAGTCCTACCCCACAGGACACAGGAAGGGGTTGGCCCTGATGGGTGGGTAGAAACCCGGGCACGCGATCCTGTCTGTGGGAAACAAATGCTGGGCAAATCAGAGGCCATACCACCAGTGCCGAGCAAGACGCGGGTCTGGAAAAACTTGCAGGCTGACTGCAAATAATCCATGCGGAGCCCCTGCCCACCCCATCTACACACGAACCACATTACTAAGAAAACATTTCAGCAAAAGCGTTTCATGTTTGCTTTTTGTTTCTTTTTTTGGTCGTGGGGCCTGAACTCTGGGCCTGGGCGCTGTCCCTCAGCTCTTCAGCTCAAGGCGAGCGCTCTACCACTTGAGCCACAGCGCCACTTCTGGTTTTCTGGTGCTTCCTTGGAGATCAGAGTCTCACGGCCTTTCCTGCCCAGGCTGGCTTTGAACTATGATCCTCGGATCTCAGCCTCCTGAGTAGCTGGGATGACAGGCGTGAGCCCCGGCGCCTGGCTTTTTTTAACCAGGATTTTTGGGAGGCTGCTGGAGGCACTGGGTTTTCAAGTTGTGAGCACTCCTGGGAGCCACACACCCCACCGCACAGTGCGGGAACCGAGACCAGCACTTTGGACAAACTTCTCTTTCCTCCTGCTTTCCATCCTGATGTCCTTAAAGTTCTTACTTTTCACATATGGGGGTGACCTTCGTTCCGAGCCCACGTTACAGGATCTGGCCTGGCTCTCCCCACTAAACCCCAATGTTTCTAGAAGCTCCCACCGCAGGCCTGTGAATTAGCTGCTTTTCTCCCAGGCCGGGAGCAGCATGGTGAGCAGCCACTAGGTGGCAGTCCTGGACCACGCCATCTCCACCACCGCAGCTGGACCGCGCGGGAGCAGGGGCCAGGCCCAGGGGTCAGCCTCCATCCTGCCCAGGACCCCGGGGCCCAGGAAGCAGGTGAGCTCACGGGAGATTCCAGTCGCTTGCGGCTGAGCAGAGCAAGCCTGGCCGGTCCTACGTCCAGCCGCGCCGGGGCTCACCCTGGACAGGGAGTGGAAGAAAGAAGCACAAGCATTCCACCCGGGCACCGGTGGCTCACGCCTGTCATCCCAGCTACTCAGGAGGCTGAGATCTGAGGATCGCGGTTCAAAGCCAGTCCCGGCAAGGCAAGTCCGTGAGACTCACATCTCCAATGACCCACCAGAAAGCCAGAAGCGGAGGTGTGGTTCAAACTTTGATGCCCACAGGGGCTTCGCACCATAATCCTCAATCTCTGCCTCCCAAGAGGCTGCGATGAGGGCTCCAGACACAGCTTCGCCCCACCCAGAAGAGGAGCCAAGGCCAGCCATGGGAAGGAGGTTAGTTACAGACATAAAAAAACCTAGAAAGAAACCTAAATATGTGAGGGGGATAAAGCTGAGCCCGGGACAGTCTCTTGTTCCCCGGCAAGCCTCGATTCATGTCACGTTCATTGCACATCAAGCGTTTCCGTGATATAAAAAAAAAAAAAAAGTGTTTCAAGAAGGCGTGAAGAGGCGCACGGCTTCCCGCTCTGTTTGATCTAATTAACGTGTTTGTTTTCTTAAGCTGTACATTCTGCTGATAAATAAATAAAGTGTCCTGCGAATGTGAAGGCCCGGCGCAGGGTTCAGCGCGGGAGCCGGGGTCAGCCCGGCGCAGGGCCGCAGGTTCAGCACGGGGCGGGTGTCAGCATGCACGGCTGGCCGCAGCACAGGAAGAGAGAGGCTGGCTTCAGTGTGTTACACACCTCCCGATTCCCATCCCCCTCCCTCTCCCTCTCTCTCTCACACACACAGAATTATCATGAGGGGTGGTGATCTTGGATTTGACAGATTAAAAAGTATTTTGTTGAGGGCCTATTGTACATACTCCCAAACCCAAAAATGTCCTGTATGTACATAAGATGTATAGGATACCATATATGTATCTGTGTATACACAGAACATATGCATACATAGATATCATATACAAATATAGTACATGTATACAAATATACGATATATGAGTATGGTTATATTCTATGTATACGTCCTATATTTTTCCTATGTATGTATAATCTGAATGTAATTAAATATACATAGAGACAACTTGAATTTGACACACACACATATATATAATATGCAATACCTAATCCATTATACGGGCTGGTTGGGCACCGGTGGCTCACACCTGTCATCCTAGCTACTCAGGAGGCTGAGATCCGACGATCACGGTTCAAAGCCAGCCCGGGCAAAAAAAGGCCGTGAGACTCTGATCTCCAATGAGCCACTAGAAAACCAGAAGTGATGCGGTGGCTCAAATAGTAGAGCGCTGGCCTTGAGCACAAAGCAGATCAGGGACAGCGTCCAGGCCCTGAGTTCAAGCCCCAGGACTTGCGCACGCACACGCACGTGCGCGCGCACAGACACACACACGCACTGATGTCTGGGCTGGCTGGGAGGCTGTGGAGGACTCCGGCCATGGTGCTGACTGCAGGGTTTGTGGTGTGCAGGGAGGGTGGGAAGCATGGTCCACGCGTGGGCCGCTGCCCGGAGTCGGACAGGGGCCGTGGAGTGCCGAGGTGCGTGTGCGCAGGACCCGAGGGACATGTGGCTGGGGGAGGGGCGGGAACGGCGGAGGGCCGAGGGGGGGGCGGGGAATGGCAGAGGGGTGAGGGGGAGCGGGGAATGGCGGAGGGGTGAGGGGGGGCGGGGAATGGCGGTGCAGGACGCCCATCCATGGTGGGTGGTCATACCCCACGCGCCCAGGAGGCACCCGACACCCACCATGTGTTGTTAGGAGTGAAGCAGAGAGTGAGGGGCTGAGACACGGCGGTGGGGGGAGCGAGGGGGGGTTGGTGGATGGTGG